AAGCATTCCAATTCCAAATCCTTTAAAGTTACAAACCAAAAGGAAAATGCAAAGCAAAATAAATTAAAGTTACAACTAAAAAGAAAAATATAATTCAAAGTTAATTAAAGTTACAAACTAAAAGAAAAATGCAATGCATCAATGTTACAAACTCAAGTGCTGGTGGTGAGTGGATTTGAAGAACATTGTTGTGTTGTTTGAGCACCAATGCTATCTACAAATAAAACAACATAGTTTAGTATATTTTATTATAAGAAGATCAAATAAAACAACATAGATTGGCTATACTTTGCGGTTTGCGGTAACCGCAAGTTTTGAAAATCAAATATCGTAACCGCAACCGCAAATGCGGTTCGATTCTTCATACCGCAAATGTGGTTCGGTTTACCGCGATCGCGGTTTCATTGCAGTAAATAGTCGGTTGATTTTTGTGGGTTTTCGGTTTTTCGGTCTAAAATGCCACCCCTAATATACATCATGATCAAATTGGTTTCTCACCAACTAGGCATGAATTTGTCTACCATAAAGAAGGCTCGCCAAGCGGCCACAAACAGATAGAATGCTTATCAAAGAAGGGAAATTTGGCCTACCACCTTCTCGTTGCATCAAAGTAAGCAAGTCAAGTGCTTCCAATTCAAAACCCTTCTGTTCATAAACTTTAATCATCGCACTCCATGTCCCATCATCCCTCTCTCTCATAATATCAAAAACTTCCCTTGCTTTAGGTACCTCTCCATTTTGGCCATACCCAAGTACTATTGCATTACAAGCAAGAACTGATTTAACCGGCATGGCATGAAAAAGCTCTGAAGCCTCTTCAATCCGCCCACGCTAAGTGTAACCTATTGGCATTGCCGTCCATGAAACCTCATTTTTCTCCAGCATCATTTCGAAAAGCTTTCTAGCAACATCCACCTGGTAGTTATTGATATGATTAATTGCAAGTGAACAATATCTCTCAAATTAGTATAGTAGTAAATAGAGTATCATCCCAACAGGGATCAAGTTAATATATTAAATACTAGAGTAATTTATTTCTAATTATATTTGAATTAAACGATAAGAGAATTATGACGATTAAAATCTAATTAAGCAAGTAAAATAAATTGAGATGAAGTAAATAATGTAAAAGATGAAAACAGAGATAATGAAGCACTAGGGCACCGTTTTCACCTAGCTAATCCAACCCAAATTCTTCTAGCTTGTTAATCCTAACTACCTAACATGTTGATAATCGTTTTCCCTTACCTCACCAATACTCTTTTCCGAGTTATATTAATTGTATTCCATACCATCAACCCACTCTATTCCTAGTTATGGATTTAGATAGCTAAGAACCCATTAAGATTTGTGGAAAACAATGAAGATTACACAAACCATAACCTAATCTTCCGAGTCGGCTATGCAATTTATGGTACTTCTTTCTAGAAGCTTTTTATTAGGAATCTCCTTTCGATCTCAACCCAATTCTTCCAATCATGCAATTAATGACGAATTAATTGAAAGCATTAAGAATAGGAACAATCACTCAACATGCATAGATAAATAAAATTAACAATATCAAAGAATTTGAGTGTTCATAGCTGGGCTACATCGTAGCCCTAATAAAAGAAATTAGTTCATGAAGGACTTATTGAGAATCTTGATGGTGGATGAAGACATGGAAGGCACTGAATTCTCCAAGTAGAACGCCAAGGTTGTACAAGCTCTTCGTCTTCTCCTTTCGGTGTTTCGGCTATGAGTTTGAATATGTAGCAATTTGATGGTAGATGCTGGGGGATGGATGAATGGATCCTTGGAACAATGACCTAAACTCCCTATTTATAATACTCCTACAAACCCTACCTATCTAAGATATAATAACAATTATTATAAAAGTAGGATTCCTTCTAAAATAGGGTCTTCTTTATTTCTCCTTGTTTGACTTGATAAGACTTGAAACATCTTGAATTGGGAAAGTTGACAACATTCCTTGCGACAAAAGGAATGACTTGGTTTCTGGACTTGATTAATCTCAAATCTTCATCTTCTTGCCCCTTTTTAGCACACTTTCTCATATTTCACAATTCCTTCACAAATCTCACAAAATCAATTAAAATAACCAATTTAATCCAAGAAAATTAACAAATAAATAAGTAAAGGAGACATAAAATATATATAAAATATAGGCATATCAGTTATGCACATACCCATATACCATCATAGTCCAGGAAACAACATTCCTTCGCGGCATCTCATTAAAAATCTCATGTGCTTCAGCCAAATGGCCAACTTGAAAATACCCACCAATCGAATTAGCCCTTGTCACCACATCCTTCTCGGGATCATATCATAAAGCCTACGAGCCTCATCAATTCGACCTTCTTGAAGAGGCCACCCAACATCACTGTCCATGAAACAACATTCCTTTCAGGCATCTGCCAAAAGAGTGATTTAGCCTCCGAATTCATACCCTTTAACGATCGAAGTCCACGATACAACTTTCTTTTTGGGCATCAAATCAAACACTTTCCTTGCCTCAATAATCATCCCATTCTTGACGTAACCGGATATCAAACCGTTCCAAGAAATCATATTGCTCTCCAGCATTCTATCAAACAGTTTTTGGGCTTCTCCTGGTTGATTACTTTGGAAGTAACCTGCAACTATTGAGTTCCAAGACACAATAGTTTTGTCAGGCATTTGATCAAACACCTTTCGGGCTTTCTCAATTTGGACAAGCCAAGAAAATCGAGCAATTTGAGAGTTTGAGGAAATTGTAAAACCAGTGCAGTATTTCCGAGATAGAATAAACCAATCAAACACCCTTCCTTCTTCTGATTCTTTGGGTTGTTTGGTGCCGCCATTTTATTTTCAAATGGGAAAACCTGGCCTTTTCATCTTTCTGTCGACAAGAAAAGGATTGGTGTGATTTGGCCAAGTTTTGAACATTGGACTTTTGACTCTATATTTATTATAATTTTAAAAAATACCACATAATCTTTCAAATAATTTCAAAACTGCCCCTACCCGTATCTTGACCGTATCTTAATAAGTGTTACATCTGTTGTAAATGCATGAGTTGGTGGATGACCACCATACCTCTTAGTATTCCACCATTGGATTTTATGTAACCTATCCACTAAGTATTTGTAATTAGTGCTTGTAACCTATAGGTATATTGTAAATGATGGTATTCAATCTCCTATCTTGTAAGCCTATAAATAGGTGATTCTACCAAAGATTAAGAGAAGAATAAACATGATGAAACTTTATCTTTAGCATATCAGTTCTCTCTATATTTTCTCTCTCTAGTTTTATAACACGTTATCAGCACGACATTGCTCTTGGTATGTTTTCTTTCTTTGAATTTTCTTTCTTCTTATATGGGCTAGAGTCATCACATGGTATAGAGTTTCTTTGTACTCACCATCAACTTCATCATGTTGTTTAAGGAAAAAAAAAATCTTATTCTTATTACACATGAATATAATGCCATTTTTTTTAAATTTGTTTGTTTACTTAATTTTAAGTATGATCTTAATTATTACGATGAGTTTGTATTATATAAAAGATCAGGGCCCGAAGTTCATTGATCCTCATCATATAACTAGATTAGGACCTAGAGGTCTTTTGATTGAATCAGAACCTGAAGTTCTTTGATTCCAAATAATTGAGGGTGTGAAGTTCCGCGAATTTAAAGAGCACATAAGGACATGAAACTCCTCGATTTTGTATTAATCAAAATCAGAATTCTATGAGGCCTATATATGTCAAGAACCCGAACTAGAAGTTTCGAGTGTGTATACATCAATTTGAGTATGAAGTTCAAAGCACAACTATTAATTCAAATTATTTAGATCTAAGTATTCGAACCTGCAGTTTCGAATATAAGTTGATATGAACCTGAAGTTCATAGTTTTTCATGTATCCTAATACTATATATGAACCTGAAGTTCATTACTTATTTGTGCCTATATGAACATGAATTGGTTGGAAATTCAATTCTTAAACTTGTAGTTTTATCCACATATTGAATCCACATTAAGATTGGTTTATCTTGGAATTTCATAGTCTTTAATTTATTTATTTTATTCATCGTTTATACTACTTTACTCATTTTATTTTATTTATGTTGGGTTATTAGTTAATTTCGTTTTACAATGGTAATGTCTTGTATTACTGCCCCAATATTGACAACCAGAGGCGTCTATTGGAGAAACTTCCTACTTTCTTTATTATTAACCACGTCGGTTTCTACTATTTTTGCGTTTTTTAACGACATACTAGGGCGGTTTTTAACAAAATTGTTGTGTTATTGAACTTTGTAATAATATATAAACTTTTTCGTCACCTGACCTAAAGTTTTATGTTCTCTCTAACTGATAAAATATTTTAGTTTCCTCTCAGTTCCCAAAAGCAGCGTGTCTGAATCTCGTCATCTTCCTCATCTTCGTCTCCAAATCTCCAAAGTTTACTTCAGAAGCAAACTTTCTTTGACCCCAAATGTTTTTTTCTCACTCTTTTTTTTTTTTTTTTGTCAAAATCATTCCTTTTTTTTTTTTGAAAGAAGAAGTCTGGAAACAAGACTCAGTTTTCAAAATGACGAAGTCTTTCATTGGTTTGAATATTCGCTAGTCTCTCACTCTCACGTTGTGTTAAGATGATAGTTTTGTCTTGTTTATGTCGTTTTAATGAATAGACCACAATGGTAATTAACTCTGTGCTATTGCAAATAGCACAACAGTAGTTAATCACAGTCTTGGTGTGATAATTAGTACGATGTAAACCTGATAAAATCGTCGTCTTATTACAAGTAATACAGAAATGATCGTGGGAGAGAGAGATTCGAGCAGTACTTTTCTGTATTCACTCTTAATAAGACGACTGTTTTTCTTGTTTAATTTGTTTTATTAAGCAAACTGCCGTCCTGCTAAAAGAAATAGCACAAAGGTTGTGTTTTTCTACCAATGTCTTCGGTCTAATATTACGTCGTTCTTTTTAATTAACCGTCGTTTTTCACTTGCAGGTTTTATTCCTCTCTAAACATGGTTTCCAAATCTCAAAGTATGTGGCTCAAGTATCAAAAGTTCAAAGCAAGGACCTTACAATTTAAAAGTCTCAAATGAATGTAGCCAAAGCAGTTCAAAGCAATCCCTCAAAGAAGATGAGATTTACTTCAACCTTCGAGGAAGACCCTAGCTCAGCGACATTTGACGAGGAGCCAAAATCGACCCGCGGTATCAACACAATGGGTAGTGTTGTTAAGAGGAAAATCCAAAAGATTAAACCTGTAGTTGAGTGCAATAAAAGGGGTAAACCATATGGCAAGGTTGCTGTTGAGATGCAATCTTACATTGGTGTTTTGGCACGCACTAGAGTCCCTCTTGTGGACAAGAAATGGACTCAATTGCCTAAGGATATGAAGGAGCATATTTGAGAAGCTGTTGAAATGGCTTATATTGTTGGGCAAGGGGCCAAGAAGATGATGCTTTCGTCTATTGCCAAAAAGTGGAAGGATTTCGTCTACCTTAACGAGGCAGTTTATCCTTCCATTCACAAATGACAAGGACAAGTTAAAAGAACCCCCTCAGCTATATAACTTCATAGAGAAATCACAATGAGATGCTTTTGTAGCTTCAAGGTTATCCCCATAATTTGAGGCTGTGCATTCTGAGCAGTCACAGAGAAGGGAAAAATGCAAGTACAACATAGGTTGTCTCGAAAAGGGTATGCTAGTTTGGAGGACCAATTAGAAGAAACCATGACTGGTGAAGAAATCGATCATTCTCTGTTATGGAAGAAGGCAAGAGAAGATAAACAAGGAAACATCCCTGATCCAAAGGTTGCAGAGAAGGCAAAATTAATTTTTAGTCTCACTCACTCTGTTCTAAATTTGAAAAACATAGATTTTTAATTTTATTTAGACGTCTTTTGTTTTACTAAACGTCGTTAGAAATGACACACCACGACGGTTTTTATTTATAGCCGTTTAAAAATGTTTAGGACATCGGTTTTTTTAGGAAATCGACATTTGGATTGAATTACAACGACCGTTTATATTTCTGAGTTAGTCTTTTTATTTTAAAAGTTCAATAACTATCTTCATGTACTCACACACACTCTCTCTCTCTCTCTCTCTCTCTCTCTCTCTCTCTCTCTCTCTCTCAGTTTCTCCGCAGTTGGTTTTTACTCTATTTTCTGGTAAAGAATGCTTATTTTGTTAAGTTTTTTCTATATCTACATTTGAATTATATGATGGTTTTTTTGTTTACCGACGTTAGAATTCATACACAACGACGGTAATTGTTTACATCCATTTGAAACAATGTACTATGTCAATTTTTTTTTCTAGAATTCGTCATCTTCATTGAAATACCATGCCGGTGTAGGTTTTTGATTTATGGTCGTTTTTTTTCTTCTATTTTACAACTTTCATTTACACACAACTTTTGAATTATACGACCATTTTTTTCCTACCAACGATAGAATGTTTACACAATGATGGTATTTTCTTACCACCGTTTGAAATGCAATACTACTTCAGTTTTTTCACAAGAATCTGTCGTTTTCAATAAACATCACGATGGTTTAGATTTTGATTTAGGGTCATTTTATCTTATCTTCATTTACTGACACACACACACACACACACACACACACACTCTCTCTCTCTCTCTCTCTCTCTCTCTCTCTCTCTGCAATTGTTTTTAACTTTACTTCATGTAAAAAATGCTGATTTTCTGTGAACTTTTTTTAGTTGTGCATTTGAATTATACTACTGTTTTTGCTCACGCTGACGTTATAAGTTCTATACAACGATGGTATTAATTCACTGCCGTTTGAAATAATATGCGGTGTCATCCTCTCTCTCTCTCTCTCTCTCTCTCTCTCTCTATTTTATGATGATTTTAAAAAAACAAGTCTTGGAGGGCACTCTAACTGTCTCTGGAAGAAATGATGTTTTGACTTTGGCTTTGGGAACCCCAGAGAATGGTGGGAGAGTCAAAGGTATTGGAGCTAGGGTTTCCCCAAGTCAATTCTTCAATTTGCGGAGACAGCTGAGAGTAAAATTTGCCGACAAATTGAAGGAAAGTGTTATGGAGGCAGTCAAAGAAAAGATCTTGAGGATTAAGGCTAGGGCAAAGGAAAGTGTTTTAGAGGCAATCAGAGTAGAGAAGGAGTATATGTTGAAACAATTCAGTCAACTAATTCCCAATTTTGATCCCAACGTGCTCAAAACTCCAATTACCCCAATTCCTTTACTGCCTCAAGAGTAAAGCCAAAAAAATTCAATGTCTGACAAAGCAAGCTAATCGGGTGCACTAATGTGAAACCCCTTGTTTTGGAGGAAGAAAATCCCAAGCTTGATGCTGATGCTGCTTAGCAACAACAAGATGAAATGGTAAATTCTATGATAATTTTTTTTTTCTACTTTTAAATTTTAAATAAACGTTGCTATTTTTCATCTTCAACATTAGAAATTTCAAACAACTAGTTAAGTATGTCCAAGAAGATATTCACGAAGTCAAGCTAGAATGGGCAGGATTTGTCACCAAGCAAATAAGAGTAATCAGTGACCATATATATATATATATATATTTACAATGTACATATTTTTATTGTATTTTGTAATTATTGAACAATCAACAACTAAGGATATTTATGAGTACATATGAATGACAATTATTTGAACACGACAGTAATTCCCTTAAACCGACGTCTCATGCTTGTTAACATGTCACAATCGTATAAACCACTGTCGTCTTATGATAATTGGAAATAAAACATTGACTACAAATTTTAAAAATGGCATGTACTTACCAAAAACACGACGGTTTATATATAAAACTGATGTAACATCCTAACCCAAATTTAAGTATTCGATGAATTTAGTAAAT